TGGCTTTGTATGCTGACTTTGTATCTTTTCTGAGTTCATCAGTTTAATAATAGTGTTTTGGTGGAGTCTTTAGCTTTTTCTGCATAATTACATCTGTAGACAGGTCATTTGATTTCTTGTTTGCCTTTTTTCATGCCCAGTTGCTGTGACTACCACCTCTGATGCTTTGTTGAATAAAAGCATTCAGAGTAGACATCTTTAGTTCTTGGTCTCACAGAACATTCTCTGAGTTTTCCACAGTGTGGTGTTGACTCTGGGTTTCTCACTTGTAACTTTTATGTTGAATTTTATGAACTACTTTTGCTGTATCTGTTGAGGTTGGACTTTTGTCTTTCATTCTGTTTCTGTGTCAACATGTATTGATTTGTGAAGAGCCATCTTGCAAATCTTGAGTGAAAAGAGCATGATCAAAATCCTATTTTTAGGAGCTGTTAGGTTTGACTTGCTGGTCCTGGTTCTTTTTTCAGATTATTTGTTTTTTCGAGACAGGGTTTCTCTGTGTAATAGTCCTGGTTGTCCTGGAACTCACTGAGATCTGCTTGCTTCTGCCTACCGAGTGCCAGGACTCGAGGCGTGCGCCATCTTTTTTTAGAATTTTTCTGGCTATTTTTCAGGGATATTAATGTATGGTTTTGTTACCAGGATAATGCTGTTTGTATAGGATGACTTTGGAAAGAATTCTTCTGTTGATTTATCTGGAGTGGCTTGAGAAGAACTGACATTAGGTCTGAAAAGTTGAGCACTGAAACCCTTTGGTCCCGAGCTTTTCTCCGTCAGGAGACTTGTTAGTGACAGAGTTTTAATACCTTCATTTCATTTTAAGATGTCTGGAGTGTTTTCCCTTCAGATTTTGTCATTAACATGCGGTTGTGTAATAACTACTAGTGAAATTTGTGTTTCGTTAACGCTGGCTTTAATATTCCCCTTTTCCTACCCGAGCCTTACCGCTTTTCTTGGTGAGGGGAGCTCTTTGGCCATTGGCCTGCTGCTCTTTGGCTTTATTTCTGCTGTAGTTTTCTTTCCCTCCCCTGGTTTGGGGATTGGTTTGTTCCTCCGTAGTGAGGACTCGTTGAGTTCTTATTTGAACTCTTCTGAGGTTACTATGTAGTCTGTAGGTTCCCCTCTCAGGATTGCTTCCCAGGGCTGTGCTGTGTTGCATTTCACTCTTTTTGCAGTGGGTGGGGGGTGGGAGCTGAAACAGGGTCTTTCTACACAGTCCTAGATATCCTGAAACTGTTTAGACCAGGCTGGCACAAACTCAAGAGATCTGCCTGCATTGGCCTCCTGGGTGCTGGGATTAAAGGAGTGTTCTATCACACCCATCCTATATTTCCTTTTATTTCAACAAATTCTTAAATATTCCATGCACCTGAATAACTTCCAAAATAAGCGTTGCTGATTTTTAATTATATTCTATAATGTTAAAGGATACTATCCTTTTTTTTTTTCTTTTTTTCCCCTCAGGATTTGTTTAGCCTAATCTGGTTTATTATAGAAAAACGTATTTGATGAAAGCATGTCTTTAGGTCTTTCTTTAGGCTATTGGATATAATGCTCTATAAACATCTATTTGAGCTGCAGTATGGGTTCATTTTTTGTTTGGATTATCTGTTCATTGATGAAACTTGGGTCTGCTGGAGCCCACCTGTAATTCCACCGCTGGAGCCCTTGCCCATTGACTGGTCAGCAGTGTTGGCCTAGCGGTGCCACGGGAAGGGTGGGTGTTGGGAACCTTAGGACCCCCTCTGTGACCTCATACTGAGGCCCCCCTCCCGCAGGGAGGGAGGGAGGGAGGGGCAGTGTTGAAGCAGAACAGTGAGGGTTCTGCTCTCCTGTGATGGCAGTGTGTACCCGAGAGCTGGAGTCCAGCAAAGTGACTTTTCCACCGTGGGGCAGCTCAGCGTGAGATGGTCCAGCCCTCGCTGCTCTAGGGCCCCTCTGTGTGCCCGTGTTGGAGGAACAGTAACAGATGCTCTCGTGTTTCCTTTGTCCTATCGGTGACAGACAGGCAAACAGGAGTGGGGTAGGATAGCAGGAACTAACTGCTAAGGTGCCTGCTTCCAGTCCTAGCGCTGGCTTAAATTCGAAACTTTGGCTATACCCTTGGTTTCCCGGGGCATCCTTGAAGGGATAGAGAACTTGAAGTGGGGAGCAGTTCCCCATCAATCACAGCACTCATTCCTCACAATACAGCACACTCAGCAAGCATGGGTCCTTGTCACTCTGTTGGGCCATGCCGTGTTCATCAGACAGCTCAGTGGAGTGTCTGTGGTTGGCAGAGATAGTGTGCAGTGTTTGTGGTCCCTAGATCAGTCCCTTCCTCAGGCTGTAGCCCCAGGGAGATAATATCAGGCCCTTGGTACTGCCAGGCTAGTGTCCAAACTTCAGCTTCTTTACCTTAGTGGGCCATAAAACTCCAGTGAGGATCGCTTCCCCCTGCACGGAGTTTGCTGGCCGTTCTCTCATCCATGTCCCTGCAGAGCAGCAGCGTTTTCTCCCCTTGCTCAGTAGCCAGGATGCTCGGGCTATTTGTTTCCTTGCGCTGCTGTTGTGGGCTTTGATTATAATACTTCACTCTATCTCTTGCTGGTACCCCATGTTCTCATGCTCATTCACCCCAAAACAGGGCTATACACCTGTTACTTTGGCTGACTTGTGAGTGTCTTAAACAGCAGTGCATCCCTGGACTTGTCCTCATACCCCTTTCTGTGACTGTGAGCAGCTCATTTTATACGACCTGTTCATGGGTCCGTTCCTCATGCCTCAGTGAGGTAATAACCCATTCAAGGAACCGTTAATGAGGTTCAAACTACAAGAATTGAGACAGTGACTTTGTGTCCCCTCTCTTTTTACCTTTCTGCGCCAGGGTCTAGCCCTGTGGCCCTGGCTGACCTTGAATCCTCCCTCTTACCTTAGCTTCTCTGGGTGCTAGGACCAAAGGCATGCACAGCCACACCTGGCTTAGATCCTTTCACTGTTCCCGTGTGCTGTGGCGTCAATCCTTTCTAAGTCCTCTTCCACCTTCTTGGAGTCTCAAGCCCCACCCACCATCCCCAAGCTCATTTGATTCTTTTCACTCTTCTCTGAACCCCTGACCTTTGGTCCTATCTGAGTTCATGGGTTTTGTGGTGTCCCGGCTCCATGCTTGTACGGGCCTCAGCTGATTCCGTCCTGTGTGGCCAGCTCATTAGAGTACTGAGTCCACAGTTTTCGCCGCAGGACACCTTGACTTTCTTAGATCAGAAATATAGATGACAGGAATTTCCTAACTATAAATGACTGTCTCTAACAGATTGATAAAGAATTGGCAAGTGGTGAATACTTTCTGAAGGCGAATCAGAAGAAGAGGCAGAAAATGGAAGCAATAAAGGTAAGGCTTTTAAGATGGCTCACAACATTCACTGCGAAGCTGGCGATCACTCGTGTTCACTAAGGCGTTTCTCACTGCCTAGGCCAAGCAAGCAGAAGCTCTGACGAAGAGGCAGGAGGAAAGAAACAAGGCGTTTATTCCACCTAAAGAAAAGCCAGCTGTGAAGCCCAAGGCAGGCAAGTAACCCCGAGGGCGTGTCCGTTCACACTGAGGAACAACTGTGCTCTCATCAGCTCCCGGGCCTAGGCAGAAGGGACGGGTAATCAAGGCTTTTAGAATTTGCGGTGGCTTTGGGGACCTACCCAGCAGCCTCTGGCCTGCGCTGGGGTTGGATTCTCATTGGAAAGATTTAAACCCAGAGCTGGCTCTGCTGCCACGCCTCAGAGACCTTTCCCAGCTGGGGCCTAGCAGCTCCTTCCTGTGTTAGCACGTACTTCATCACCTGAAGCAACCATCAGGAAAGTCTGCACTAAGGTCTGCCCTCATTCTGATCCACGCTCTGTTTTCTTTGCCTCTGGTGGCACGTGTCAGAACCACCCTCCAAAGGCATCATGGGGACGACAATTATTTTTTAAAGTAAGTTTCGGTGGTTAAGTACTGTGGTAGCCACACCAATGATTGCCTCGGAGTGGAGGCTGAAAATGTCCACACCTCCACTGTCTGGACTATTTGATGGTACATTTTATCTTATGATTCTTTGATGGTTTGAAAACTGTACCATTATAAGGAAAAGGTGCATCCTTTTAAAATTGTTTTCTGTATTTAGTTCAGCCGTTTGACACCAAAAAGATATTTTGGCCTGTTAAGATCACCAAATGCTCTCATATAACAAAATCATGTTACATAAAATAAGCCTTGTTAAAATTACTCACGCTAGAAGGACTACACCTAATACTTTTCATGGAATGTAATTTTAAATTATTTTGTACGCAATGTGAAAATTGGCTTACTAATGACTACTCGTAAAGAATTGAATTGACTAACTGGATTCAATATACCATCATACCATTTCATCTGTGATTTGTTTCCTCAACTTGAAGTTCTTAGGTCTTTTTTAAATTATTAGAAATAATTTGAAATTGGCATATTTTCTTGTAAAATTTTGCAGCTTTTACTGAAACTAAGATTGATGTGGCGGCTCTCAAGGAAAAGGTTAAGAAAGCAAAGGCCAAGAAACTGGGCGCTCTCACAGCGGAGGAAGTGAAGCTTAAGATGGAGGCTGATGAAAAGAAACAGAAGAGGAAAAAGTAACATTGGGAAAAAGCTGGACCTGAACTTTGGAAGGTGTTTCCTTTTGTAAAGGATTTTGAGACGACTTTCCTTGCCTCACCCGGAAGTAGTCATGCTCAGAAAATCATGACTAGAGTTTTATCTGTTGATGGACATGTCCTTTGTTAATACATTCATATGTATTCTCAGGTTTGTGCAAGACAGTGGTAGAGACCTGTAGATACATCGTGCCCGGTCAGCCCCAGGCGGTTTTGTCTAGACGTCATTTTAGGAATACCTCTTTTAAATTATATAGATTTTTATTGATTATCAAATCCAATGTCTGTTGCCATTGGGTGTGTTTATAAAGACTAACGAAAGCCTTTGGTTTTGAGGAAAATAAATGCGTATTTTCTACTGCTAATGGCAACTGTTTTGGCTTTATTTTATTCCAGGACAAAACCACCCACAAACAGAAAAACCAAGACTCCAAATCTCTCAGTCCCTATTATCCTAACTCTGAGGAAATGGTACCAGAAAAGTGGATGTGGGCATCTAACCTGCATATATGCAGTGTGCCCACTGAGGCCAAAAGCGGGCATCGGCTCCCCTGGGACTCCAACACAGGTCCTCCCCAAAAGCAGCAAGTATTTTTAACCTGGGAGCTGTGAGGGCAGTTGGATTTATAATTATCAGTCTGGTTGTTGCTGAAAGCCTAGCTGTGGCAACCTCGACAGTCCTTATTCATCAAGTAGAGAGGAGAGTTTACTCTTCATAGACTTGGGAAACTCAGCAGTTCTAAGACTCTACAGAAACATTTTAAAATAGCCACTGAGGAATAAGTAGTCCCCCACCGCTGGCATTAGTCCACAAGAACTAAGTTAGGGTATTTGTGCTTTACCAAAATGGTAATTATAACAGACAGTATTAGAAGCACTGATTTAACAATGAGAAAGAGAGATGTGTATCTGTTACGCAGATAGATGGGCCATTCTGGATAGTCAACAGAGTAGTAACCTGTGAAACAAACACAGTGTGCTTTTAGTTTCTCGTGATGGGCGAACCCAGCCCGCCCCGTGCCCCGTCACACAGTTTAGGTTTGCATACGTACGTGAGACAGCGTCTCTCTGTGGGTTAACTGTAAAACCAGAAAGAAGAAAAGGTTAGGGATAGGGGGAGCTATGTTTTTAATTCCATCTTTATAACCATGAACGTGATTTGGCTTTACGTACAGTGATTGTGGTGGTTTAGAAGAAGATGGCCCCCAGAGGGAGCGGTATGATTAGGAGGTAGGGCTGTGTTGGAGGAAGTGTGTCTCTGTGGGAGTGGGCTTTGATGGTTCCTGTGGCCTTCTGTTAAAGATGTTGCCTTCACTTTGGCTCCCTGCCATGATAATAATGGACTAAACCTCTGAGCCACCCCAAGTAAAGGTTTTTCTTAGGGTTGCCGTGGTCATGGTGTCCTTTCACAGCAACAGAAACCCCAAGGCAGTGATTTTCAAAGAGCAATCAAGTTTTTGCTATTAACGGTAAACTTAAATTTTTCAGTATTTTTATATGAACTTAGTATGAATTTTTGTACTCTATCAGTTAATGGAAAAATTGTTTAATATGCCACAACCACGTGATGAATCTTATTTTGAGCTATGGTTGAAACTAAAGGTTAAAATATAATGACTTGTTTTAAATGATGCAATTACAGTTGTTTTCTAAGCTCCTCCCAGAGAAGAATGGTAGGTACTGTTGATGGTCGTCTGGCTTATTAAAAGACGTGATTATGTCTTCCTCTGAGCTTCAGATTTTGATATTCAGAGCACTAGGGAAGAAAAGTACCCCCAATTGCTTTGGCGTTCTAGAAGCTTTCTTTTACATGGACTGCTGTTGAATGATGGAGCCCCCTGGGACTTGTTCTGGGTACTTGCGATCATCTCTGGTCATTACACCTGAGCTGCCTTGACAGTTATACCACGCATTTGCAGCATGTTTCTCGTTTTTCCCCCGTGTGCATCTGCAGAGGCATAGATCGACATTCAACCCCAGGAACAAATGGACACCCACGCACTAGCTAAAACTACCTTATGTACCATGGGTATGTCCCAAGTACTGGCATGGCAGTCTTGCATAATGAATGACAAGCCATAATTTGTCAGGTAGGTTCTGTTAAATGAAAGCTTTTTATGTTACAATCGTTACCCTCCTGAACCTCACAATAAAAGATGGGATGGTTTTGTCAATTGGAAACACTATTATTTAGTATTAGTACAGAAGAAAGTGCAATGCTTTTCAAATAGGCCTATATTTATATTTAAAAAGTTAGAAAAATCAGTGACAAACTAGATCTTAAGTCATCTAAAGTAAATGGTCTTATATGTACCATGCAAGTGTGTGTGTCTTTCTCACTCCAGTCCCGGGTTGTCACTATTGGACTAGAGTCAGTCTCAGCTTTGTCAAGCACAGACACCATCTCAAGTTCTATCTTTAAAGGTCCAGAGCTAAGACACCACTAGCATTTTTGTGTTGTGGCAGATATTGACAGTTCATTGAATGATTGCACTCAGCTCTATGAGGTGGTAGTGTCGCACATTTTACTATCAAGGAAATGGATGCAGAGCGATGGCCAGGGTCTCATAAAGAACTGTACATTAATTAGACTGGTAATTTTTTTAGTGCCTTGGTTCTGAGAAGAAATTAATTGCACATAGGTACATATTTTTGAGTTTCCTGATGAGGCTGCTATGTATGAATAAAAAATATTAGTAATATATTGGGAGAAAAATGGGTCAGGTGCAATTTCATGCCTGAAAAGTTCAGTGTTGAAATGGGGGAAAGGGGAGCAGTTTACTGGAATTTAGGTCTGGAAGGGACCTTGAGATTTGTGTAAACAACACACACTCCCTAACAGGATTCATACAGTGAAGCTTGGACTACTATCCCCCTCCCCGCTTCTAAGCACCCCCTAGCCTGGCCTTGCAGCCCTGAGGCAGCTTGCTGCAGATGCAGCACAAAAGAACAATGGGATTGGCATAACCATGGTATCTTCAGATTCCCTTCATACCAGGGGCGATAGACCTCTTAAAGGACACTCCTGCAAGCCTATGTTTGGTCCCAGAACAGTAAGCTATTGGTTTGCTACAGCTCTCTAGCTACAAGGATAAGACAAATACTTAAACCTCAAGTCTATGGAAAGTTTTTCACGTTATCTTACTTACTGCAGAGATTGTTGAGACACCTGTCATCTTCTGGGCAATCACTGCAAGTGGTTCCTCGCTTATACGGCCGCGTTGGGTAGTTTCCTCTGTGAAGCAGAAGACCGTTAGTAAAGGGCCCCCCAGCGCCATTGCGCTTTACTCTGAATGCTTGACCAAATCCAGAATAGGAAGATGGACAAAGACTCGGGAGGCGAATAAAATGCGTAGAGATGGAAGCAGGGGAAGGTTGCTAACATTTGGAGGGTTCATGTTATGTCCTAGTGTCTGAGTATTATATAATTTATACCATCTCATGTAACTATGATAACTCTGAGAATGAATTATTTTTCTGTTTAGCAATAAGGAAACTGAAGATCTGGGAGATTAATAGGTTGCCAAAGATCTCAGTTTATATATATGAGTCAGAAAGAAATCTAAAAAGGCCTTATGTTGGGCCTTTTCTATTTAACCCATAGCCTATATGATTACTTCCATCTAAACACTGCCTATCCTAGAAAACAATTACACTGTATATATTTTCATTGTTCCAGGTCACCATAGTTTTTACTAGATACATTATTGGACTGGGGTGGTGACCTACAAAAGGAAAAGATGGGAAAATTAGAAACAATCCATTTGCATATAAACAATGTGATATGAATAGTAACTGATAATTACTGTGTAATAAAAGATCAAAGGGATGGATGGGGAGAGCTCAGTGAAGTGTTTGCCATGCATCCATGAAGAGCCCATGTTCATTTCTTAGCTCCTACTACAAAGCCAGGAATGGCAGTGTTTGTTTCAAGTTCTAGCTTTGGGGAGTTAGGTAGGTGGATCCCTGGGACTCACTGGCTAGCCAGCCTAGCCTCATCAGTGAGCCCCAGGTCCCAGTGAATAATATCTCAGAAACAAGGCATTGTATGTAGAGGATAGGGATGGGGAGCTGGAGAGATGGCTCATTGGTTATAAGCCCCTGCTCTTTCAGAGAACCTGGGTTCAGTTCCTAGCACTCACATGATGGCTCACACAACAATCCATGACTCCTGACCTTAGGTTCCAAAGGATCTGACACCCTCTTCTGACCTCTGAAGGCACCAGCTACATAGGCGATACACATATAAACATACAAGCAAAACACTCAAACATGAACAAATCTAAAAAAAAAATTAAAACCATGCACACCAACACATACATGTGTACCTGCACATGTGTGCATCTATCCCCTCCCCCAACAAAAATAAGATAGCAAGGGGTCTGGTAATAATTACAGCCAGTTTCAAAGTAGGGCTGAGCATCAACTACTTAGCATCTGCAGCAAATAGAGTGTGTGTTCTAATAACATCCACTGTTCTCAAAGATACAGGTACTGATAATAAAAAAAAAATCAGTTATGGCTAAAACAATGGATTCTTGTTCATAATAAAAGGGAATGTTAGTTTCATGGAAAACAAAGATTTAACTTTTCTAATTGAAGTTTATAGATGTCTCCTTCTCCAGTTCTAATACACCCCCCATTAAGAAATCCTTATTTAGAACCACAACTATATTTCATCCCCAGTCCTTTATGCATATAACTATCTGTATCTATCTTCTAATCTCATTTGGCTTCAAGTTAAATTAGGTTGCTTCAGAAGTTCACTTTCTGGGGTTGGGGCTGGGGAATATGGTACATTGATAGAACATTTGTCTAGCATGGATGAAACCTTAAACTCAATCTCCAATACTGTAAAAATAATGATAAATTATCCTCGTCTTATATCGTAGAAAACAGAACAAACATGTTAGAGAGATTACTGATTTCCAAAACAGACATTAGTCACTGGGGGGCCTTTCACTAGTAAAAAGCACAGCACACAAGAAGCAGTTTAAGTTGTAGAATGATTTTGATGAAATCACTATTGTTAAACCTTATTTTTTAATTATGCATTCCAAACTCGAAGGGGAAAAATGTTACTTGAAATCGGTAGATTCGTTTTGGGGAAAACGTGAAACTAGAAAGACCTGGGTTTGTTTGAGTAGGTGTAATTAAGACAAAGACCAACATTCCGCCTAACATAAAAGCAGAGTATTTTTGTAACTGTCCTAGAAGTCTGAGAGATAAGATGCTTGGGACTCTGGAAAGAGGGGAGATGAGTCTGAGTAAAGGTCCCCAAGGGAGTAGCAGGCGGTAGTGGTACCCAAAGAACACTAGCGTATACTTACAGTCAAAGCTTACTCCCTCCTGTTTTACAAGCCCCTCCTCCTTCCACCCTACTCTGGATGCTGTCTTACTCAATGTGGTATCGCTGTGAAGAGACACCATGACCAAGGCAGCTCTTAACTGGGGGCCTGCTTCAAAGTTCAGAGGTATAAGTGCATTATCATCATGGTATGAAGACAGGCCGAGATCTACATCCTGATCCACGGAGGCAGAGCGTGGCCTGGGCTACAGTGACATGCTTCCCCTAACAAGGCCACACCTCCTAATCCTTTTATATACGTGTGTCTGTACCACATAAATACAACTTTGAAGACAGCAGGCTGGCTGGCTTGTGTGAAGCTCAGTAAAGAGTATGTGTTAAAAAGACTCTAAACGGAAGAATGGATGAACAAAATGTGGTACATATACACAATGAGTACTACTCAGCAGAGAAAAACAATGAAAGCATGAAATTTGCAGGCAAATGGATGGAACTAGAAAAAAAATCATCCTGAGTGAGGTAACCCAAACCCAGAAAGACAGTCATGGTATGTACTCACTCATAAGTGGATTCTAGATATAAAATAAAGAACAATCAGACCACAACCCATAGAACCATGGAGGCTATATATATATTGCATGGAGGTCCCTAGGACGACTGTGGCTTATAATAAATTTCGGTTTTACTCAAAAAAAAAAAAAAAAAAAAGATGACTCTAAAGTTAGTCTTATAATCTATGTTTCAAAATTTGATATAATTCTGAAGCTAGCATGAATCTATACTAGAATTCACATTTGTACTTACTGTTATAATAAATATTTTTGAATCACTCCATCTTTGATAGATATTGCCTATAACTGGTATTTCTGGATAGTTCTTTATGTCACCTTCATAGCTACAGGAAGGAGTTGGTGCTCTTGTCATTTTTGACCTTTTGGGTACAACAGACTCCGAGACTAATTTGTGGTCACACAGCATTCTAACTACCCTACCCTTCGAAGGTGTCACGAAAAGTTGTCACTGGTTCAATCACAGCTTCGGCTGTGGTTTCTCTTGTTTCTCCCTTCCCAGGTCAGATTTTTAAGTCAAAACTGTTGTTGATTTCGAAATGACACTTGACTTCAGTTCCTCCTTCCAGCTCACATATTAAACACCTCTCTGGAACAATAAGCTCAGGGAGAAATGAGTCTGTTCCAGTTCGGGAATCCAAGCAAAATTCTAGGCAGCAAATGAAAGGAAAATGGTTACATGTGGAAAAGCTTTAAAGCCCTAAACTATAAACAACTACTGCAAGTCACTAAGGAAGTCACCCCAACAGGAGAATAGGGCAGACAATAGGATTCACAAAAGATAGGGATAACAGTCTGGTCAAGTGGCTTTCAATCACTAGTTAGGAAAGAGATGGAGATGAAAAAGTTTTCTGCGGCCCACCTTCCACCACCTACTGGCCATTCACATGAAACCCAATCCTGAACTCTAGTTAGAGACCCCAAAGCAGTGTCCCTCCACCTTCTTGTCAGCCAACCCACCTACTGCAACAGCCGGGGACCACGAAGAGCCTGACCCAGAACCCCGTTTAGGAGCCTCTTACTGCCGATTAGCCACTGCTGGGCTTGGAACCCCAGTAAGGGACCTCTAGAGCTAGTCCCCTTCCCTCATCCATCAGCCACCCTGCTCACCTCTTGGCTGGAACTCCATTGAGAGACCTCAGGAGCCAGCTCCCTCCCCAGCTACTCCATCCACCTATCAGTTATCCCAATAACTATGCTAGTTTGGGACTGTGGCATCCAAGTCACAATTCCAGGTAGAAACCATCAGAGACCAGTCACCCGCCTGACCATCAGCTTCCCCCCCCCCACCAGCTGAGCTCTAGGGCCACATGGAACCCCATAGGGAATCCCAGCTATGGATACCTGAGCCAATTCTTCCACCTGCCCACACAACTATTAGCCACCCCACCCACTGCTTATCTGAACCAAAATTCCAAAGTGCTCCAAGACTGAAAACTTGGCATCATACAGTTGGTCCATAACCCTGACAAGATCCAAACACCCACCCAGCCAACAAAGGTGAGCTTATATCTATCCATACAAACACCACCAACTAACCCTAAATGCCTAAGTCCCATGCAAAAAACAACAAAAACAAAAAACAAAACAAAAAAAAAACCCCATGAATTATCAATACGTCTCCTCAAGAATCCAACACCCCTATTGTAGTGGGTAGCTGTTCCAGCTTTGATATGGAAGTACTACCCCCATTGAGGCTTCCACTAACTATCATGCCTACCTGTGGCTTGCCCCTGAGGTGGGGCTGAAACTGGAGCCCTTAAGACCCGAGATCTGGATGTGCCGGCTCTCTTAGTTCCTGGTAATCCTGGATGCTGGATGGTAAACCGAGCAGAGTTCTCCAGAGAACACCACTGGACTGCACTTCACCTCTCCTAGACCCTGTAACCTATCCCTTGTAAGTTACCTCCCAAAATAAACCTCCCTTTTAACTACATGGAGTAATAACTCCCAATACCCCTATAGTATTATTTCCTGAGAAAAGCAATTTAGCCAACACCCAAGATAAGGACTTTAAAATTACAAAAAGGTTCAAGGGTCTCAAAAAAAGGATATGAATAAATGCCTGGATGAAGACCCTGAAAACATTTGAGTAAAATAACGAAAAGAAGATTTGAAAATAGAATTTAGTAAAGAGAGGATCTCTGAAGAAAAGCCAAACTGGAATAAAACTTGAAATGAAAACCCCAGGTGTGGTGATAGTTTATTTGTGCTCTATCAAATAAAGCTTGCCTGGGAATCAGAGGACAAAGCCAGCCACTATATTAAACATAGAGGTCAGGCTGTGGTAGCACACACCTTTAATCCTAGCATACCGGAGGCAGAGATTCATCTGGACCTCTGAGTTCAAGGCCACAGTGGGAACAGAGTCAGGAGTGGTGGCACACACCTTTAGTCTCAGCACTAGTTAACCATAGCGGTCTGGAGGTCTGTACAGACAGAAAGGAAGTGATAGAGCTGGATGGAGAGAGGAAGTAAGATGGCAGGGCACAGAAAGGTATATAGGCATGAATACACAGGAAGTAGCTCTCTCTTGGGCTGAGGATTTCCTAGCAGAAAGAACTTGTGGCTGGTTTGTTCTGTTCTTCTGAGCTTTCACTTTCACTCTAATATCTGGTTCCAGGTTTTTTATTAATAAGACCATTTAGCAATTCCTGTTATACCCAGGAAGTCAAACAAAAAGCTCAGATGAAAGCCTCACCCACAGACTGCACCAAGAGGAAGAGAGAGTATCACTTAAGAGAAAGTGTTAAGTATAAAATACTCCAGGAACAAAACATCCAGGATATCTGAGATACTATGAAAAGACAAAAACCTAAAAATAATAGGTACAGAAGGAAAAGAAACCCAGGTCAAAAGCGGAAAAAAAATCAAATTTCTCAATTCTAAAGAAAGAGATTGTATTATCAAGGTGCAGAAAACATACAGTACACCATATAGACAGAACCAAAAAAGGAAACGCCTCATGACATAATAATTAAAACATTAAAATATGTACAGAACTATGAAAGGATGTTGAAAGCCAGAAGAGAAAAACACCAAGTCACATACAGAGGCAGACCCTTGGAAAGAACACCCGACTGTTCCCTGGAGACTTTGAAAGCCGGAACAGTCCAGACTGATGTTCTACAAGTTCTGAAAGAGCAGAGATGCTGACCCAGACTACTATACCCAGCAAAACTGTCAGTTCTAACCAAAGGAGGAAAACTTGACATGAATGTCCACTAAGACAGCTTTGCATAGGATACTGCCAGGGATATGTTAGTCTGAAGAGATGATTAAACACATCCAAGAGGATACAAGGAATAAAAAATTCTAAAACAGTAACTAAGGGAGGTCTGAGAAACCACCACAACAGAAATAAACACTAGTAGGTAATAATAATTCTCCCAATAGCTAACAAAAGTCAAAGACAAGCAGTTTAGATTAGCAAATAGGATCCATGGTTTTGCTGTCTCCAAGACACAGCTCACCATGAAAAATATAGCACACCTTAGGGTAAATGAATGGGGAAAAGTCTTCTAAGCAAACCACTAAAAAATCCAGCAGATATATCTATTTTATGACACAATATACTTCAAATCAAAACTAACTAGGATAGGGAAGAATGCTTCATATTCATTAAGGGGAAAATCCAAGAGGATATTACAATTCTAAATACTTAGACCCCCAAATACCACCCAGTTTTACAAAGGAAACATGTTTAGATCTAAAAATCACATTATTGGCCCAAGCGCAGTGATAATGGGTGTCTTTATACCCCACTCTCATCCCTAGGTCATACAGACAGACAAAAACTAAATAGAGAAGCCCTGGAGTTAAGTGGGATATAACAGATGCTTATAGTGTACCACATCCAAGCACTAAATAATAATAATAATAATAATAATAATAATAATAATAATAATACACATTCTTCTCAGTAGCCCATGGTTCTTTCTCCAAAACTGACCACATATTAGGACACAAGGCAACTTCTCAGGAAACATGGGGAAAATTGAAATAACATGCATCCTGTACTGTATAAAAGCAATAAAGATACCACCAACAATAATCTAACACTTGAAACACGCAGAGTGTTCACACATAGAATGACTCAGCATTATCTATCACTGTTTTTGTATTTACTGGAACCAAGCTGGAAAACAATTATTTCTGGTTTGACCACAGTTTTCTGACTATGTATGACTCACAAGCACAGTGAAGTAGAATTGCTTTTCTCATTTCCAGAGGGAACAAACTGTTTTTACCTGAAAAATTCAACTGTCAAAAGTAATGCAGTAATTAATATAAACTGAGTGATTCCACCTTAGTTTTTTTGTTTGTTTTATGTGGAAAGTATGCTATGATCTTAATAAAACAATAAGTTAATATCAATCCTCCTTCCTTCTATTAATATATCAATTTATGTCCCTGGCAAATATTTTCACCTTGTTACTCTTAAAGATGAATGCCTTTGTAGTGTTAATAAAGTGTGTGTGCACATGCACCCTCTCACAAACAAACAGGAAAAATGTATTAATGGAGTGAGTCTCTGGGTAAAGAATTTAGAGGCCTTGAGATTTTTGTTTACACATTTTCTAGATTTTCTATATTAAAGATGAATACCTGTAACAACATATTTTTTAGAATTTAATTCAAGCACTTACCCTGGTCCATAGTTGCATATAAAATGTGCTCCATTAGAAAGGCTTTCAAAGTTAGCAACTCTAGGGCAAAATTGCACTGCACAGCCAACCTTGTAACTATCTGCCCAAACAACCTGGAAGCACAAGAGAACGTCTTACCATAGAAATGAACATTTGATCATCATCAAGCCTTCATAATTATGGTAAGGAATAGCTACTCTAGTTAGTTGTACAACGTTCTTCACCAGGGAAATTTTGGGTGCTCAAAATGCTGCTGGAAATAAGTTCTGAAGTATAATCTCGGTACATGTGTAAAATAAACACGTATATGGCAAGATAATAGTGGGAAGCTGGGGCTGGAGAGATGGCTCAGAGGTTAAGAGCACTGACTGCTCTTCCAGAGGTCCTGAGTTCAATTCCCAGCAACCACATGATGGCTCACAATTTAGTAAAATAAAAAAAAAAAAAAAATAGTGGGAAGCTATTGTAGGACCCCTGCAGGTATCACAGCCAGAGAATGAAAACCCACTACAGCCAGACTTGATCAATCAAACTGTACCAAAACTTCTAGAGAGTCCGATCCTGTGCTTTAATTTTCTTATATATTTAAACACAGACAAACTGGGGCAATGTCTCCACATGACAGTTATCATAACGAAGCTTCAGGAACGGCTACATCAAAATTCCCCTGCACAGTAACAAAGCGCCTGTGCCCTTTACAATAAGAATGAGTTCTATTGGCTGATAAACAGAGCTCAGGGCCCAGAGGAAGGATTTGTAATAACCATAAAGATGGATTCTATTGATGGAGGATGCAAAGTACCTGGGGCCGCCTTCATAAGGGTTCATAATGAGTTCTATTCACTGAGAGACAAAGCTCAGGAGTAGAGCCTAAACAATTCTCAGGATTTGGGGGGAAATTGAGGTGGAGGCTGGCTCCCAATAGAATAGCAAAGGATCCCCTGGTTCTTTGCCCACTTACACTCAAGCATTCCAGGTGACCAGGTGTCATTCTTTTTTTCCATTAAGGAAAGCAAACCTGTGCGCAAGAATCCTGGTTTCTCCAATGCTTACTCTAAGCCAGAAGTTCTCAACCTGTGGGTTATGACACCTTTGGGGTCGCCTTATCAGATAGCATGAATGTCAAATATTTACATCATGATTCATAACAATAGCAAAAGTTACAGTTATGAAGTAGCAATGAAATAATTTTGTGGTTGGGGGAGGTCTCCACCACATGAGGAACTTTACTAAAGGGTTGCAGCATTAGGAAGGTTGAGAACCACTGCTCAAAGCCATGCTTCCTACAGAAAGCTACCACAGTGAAATACAACAGGGTAACTTGATGGAGTGTCTGCTGGGAAGAAAGCAGCTGATTCAAAGGGAGTGTTCAGGGAAGACCTCTGAAGTGACCTTCGAACTGAGATGCAAGTGATGAGGGTGTAGCTTGAGAAAACTAGGGGACAAGCAAGGTGGGTAGGACCTTGGGCATGGGGTTCTGTGCAGAACATGTTTGTTCTGAGCTGTCTATTAGATATTGAAGTAAAGATGGGCATAGCCACTGGGCTTAACCACCTGCAGTTCAGAGGATGGGGTAGCACCAGAGAGAGCAACCTGGAAGACACAAGGCTGCATCAGACCATATATAGGCAAAGATGATAGAAAGGAAGGGGTAACTGCGACCCTGGGTTAAGAAAATACATACAGGAGCAGCCAGCAAAGCAGATGTAAAATGTGGTCCCTTGCTGTTGAGGAAGTGGAGACCACAGCTGGTTCCCAGGAAGGCAGCTGTGCTGTCAGGCTGGGTCCAGTGCTCAGGGGAGCTCCAGACTGCGTTGAAATCAATATGCCTGCTGCATTTTTACTGCCTTCCAAGGTGCTGTCTCCTTCCTTTCCTGAGAAGCATCCCACCTCGTCATTTTCCACCGATTCCCATAAATTATGCGGCTCGTCTTGACTAAGAATGATGAGTATTAAAGATGACCAAAAAAACGGGGCCTGGAGAGATGGCTCCGAGGTTAAGAGCACTGGCTGCTCTTTCTGAGGACCTGATTTCAATTCCCAGCAACCACATGGCAGCTTACAACCATCTATAATGAGATCTGGTGCCCTCTTCTGGCAAATGTATACATAATAAATAAATAAAATATATTAAAAAAAATTACCAAGAACATTTGAGAACCTAACTAGTTCTTGAAGTCAAACCAACCATTTCAGAGTTTTTTTTTTACAGTGACACAAAAATTATACTTTAAGATTTTTTTTAACCATAATTATGAAGGCATTTTGTGCCAAGCATTGTACTAAATATGTAGGCATAATGGTGGGTGATCTGGGGTCTGCAGGAACCTTCATGAAATCTAGACAGAGGCAATCATGGAACTGATAGAGCTCTGATCTCTATCAAGGGTTCTAATACATGGCTTCTCTGAGGGCCACAGACATTGATCTGTCTTTAAACACAGAGCAGTGTCCTGTGTGAGCCCAGGGTAGAGAGGACTCATTCACCAACTACAACAGAGACTGGTCTGGCTGTGGAAAAAAAAGCATGTTTACTTTAGAAAATTAAATTATCACTCCCTGAGGAGAAAGTAGAGGGAGGGAAAAGAGCAAGCCCAGGATGGAATCGGAGATTGCCAAAGGTCTTCAGGTGGGACAAAGGGATGCAGACACATGGGTAGGAGTGCCTACCTTTTGCAGACTGACGTTCCCTTGCTTTGGGAGCTGGGAAGAATCTAGAGAGGTTGTTCCTAAATCTCAGAGACAAAGAGCCATCCCATCCTTTGGCTAGAAACAGTAGTCTCTTCTCCATGACTGAAAAGGATTGCTCCCCGAGGAACAGCTCTGAGTATCGGAAGCTGGGAGCCCCATGTGGGGATCTCCAGCCTAGACAGACAGAAAGGCGACTTGGGCTTCTCTGTTGAGACGTTGAACATTGTTGGGTCAACGTGACCCTTGTACTTCTACTTTCCAATCACTTTTGTTTTATTTTGAAACTTTCAATTTTATTCATTTCATTTGGGACTGATTTTTATCTAGGCTGCCCACATCAGACTTACTGAGAAACATTGGTGTTCTTAGACAACTCCGTTTCAGCTGTATTTCAACAGCTCCCGTCAGGTGCTCCTTCCACACCATACCAGGAGTCCCATGTCACCATTCCTATCTATCACCTTAGCTCACTTAGCATTTTGTTTAATCTTAGTTTTTGAGGACTTCCTTCTTTCCATAGTGTTTTCAGATTTCCTTCCTCTTTGGGCCACCTGTACTTTTTCAGAAATGTGCAGATATTGCTTAGCATGCGCAGTATGCTTCAGTTGGTGTGTTAGCTATTAGTCACTGAGGCAAAACATCAGAAGAAAGGCAGGTTCTAGGTCATGATTCCAGTATGTGGTCATCTGTCATCATTGCCTTTAGGTCTGTGATGAGGGTCATAGAAACTAGTCCTACCTTGGAATGTCCAGGAAACCAAAGAGAGAACACGGAGGATCAAGTCCCAATATCCCTTTCAAGTGACTACCCCATGACCTAATCTTCCTTTGCCTGGACCCCCACCCAGTACAGCTTTCAACACATTCCAACAGTGCATCAGGCCTTTAGGAAACATTGATGACTTCAACTCTAATAGTTTTCAAAGTTGGGTTAAACTGGATATGGCGCCTCCCATCTCTAATCCCAGCACTTGGGAAGCTGAAACAGAAATCTCACTGTGACATCAAGGCCTACCTGGGCTACACACTGGATCTCAGGCTAGCCTGGGCCACAGAGTTTGTCCTGTGGTTATCTTTACCTAGTCGTCAAAGAGGCAAGCTGGGGTTACCCAGTGTCAGGGTGGGAATATGAACTCAGATCCAAATTGAATCTGGAACTTTCCCACCAGTGAATCCTCTAAACAAAAATGAAAACTTGCCAGTCTGTCCCCAGTGACCATAAAGGTAAAGTGTTGAATTAGCATGTCAAGAAATATTGACTGTTCACAGAGAGATAATCAATCTGACCGTAGGTCCTGTACTGCGTACCAGCTGTCATTGGGCAACATATGGAAACAACTTGATTTTCAAAAAGAACAGGGTAAGTAGACATTACAATCCCCACTTTAGGTAACTGTCCAGCAGGAAGCTGACGTGACTGAATTGTCCTGAAACCCCCCACCAAGGTCCCTTCAAAGAATGAAACAGGAATTATAATCAAGATATATCAGTATCCTCTTCCAACATGATTTATTAGAAAACTAGATACTGGGCTCTAATCTTTGCTCAGTACTTACCAACAAGTGTTGGTCCAGATTTCTCCACAGCACACTCTGAAATATTAACTTATATGCTGATACTTGATGGGCTTACAATCTCAGAGGTGTGAGTAAGGAGAAACAGGAGCGGACAAGGAAGGCAGGATGTGGTTGGAAATGGTTTCTGGCTCTCAGGCTAGCTCCCTCTGATTTTGGGGGACACATATGTGCAGCTTTGGGAGATGCGCATGGCTAGTGCAATTCAGAGAAACTGACACCAGCCATGTGAGCAAAGAGGACACAAAAACTATACCACCAAGCCAATGTTCCATACTGCAAGAGGTGTGGCACTTGGTTCTTGAACATGGAATTTGGCAAATGAAAAAATAAAGACTTTAGGATAAATTAACCAGTTATAGAAGGTGTACAATGCATAGGAATAGCCTGTTACTTTGAATTTTAAAGAGCTGAGCATCAAAATATGTGGCACTCAGAAGACAGTTCACTTTATAACAGACTTGTTAGCCATACTTGTAACTCCCTCATCCCTGGGAGTCAGAATAAGAGGAGAGATTCAAGTTCATGTCACACAGACTTGAGACAGCAGAAATGTCCCTCAATTTTTAAGTTTCCCCTTTACACCCAGGGAAAAAAAAGGAGGGCTAATACTTAGAACATGAGAAAATTAATTTGATATCATATCTATCTCTCATACAGATATGAGACCACATTTCGTGGCCCTAACCTCTTCAGTAGACTGCCATGTTCCATCCTCCCTGCAGAAGGAGGACCTCATCGTAGGAGAATGTTCAGAAATTCCCGAGTTTGGGAGTTCTTGACAGCCATTTTGTAAGTGAGCACAGTGTTTACCTTTCTAAGCCAAAAGGCTCATTCGGTTTCTACCACAAACACAGAGGGGAGGTTCTGCCATCCATATATCAACCACACATCAACAAATTAAGAGAGTTTATGATGTTTCCCTAAAGCCACTTAGCTAGTGAGAAGAGAGTTCCAATTCACTTCTCAGATACATTGCAAGGCTTTAAGTAATATAACGTATGCAGGTTATCTCATAATGAATATTACTGCCTAGACGGATGGCTCCTGTATGACTTTATCCATGTAACTAGCTTCTCCAAGTATGTTTTCCTCTCATATTTATAACCATACTAGCTCACTATATATTTCTTCAATACCACGTTCAGTTCTCTCTTCACCTTTAAAAAGGTGATTCCAGGGGAAGTATTTACCTGAGTGTAATGGCCGCAGACTTTTGTGCATCTCATAGTGCTGAAGTCATAGTACTCGATTTCATTGTACCAGTCCGAGATGGCTGCAGAAGCCGAAAAGAGGAATAAAGATCCAGTCCAGATATTTTCCCCCACTACGGTGAAGTTTGGGTGCAGCCGTGATTTCAGCTGTGGGTTGTGTGCAAATCGACAAGATTTTGCCCACGCTTTTGCAATCCGGGCTAGTGCTGGGTCCCAAGACTGAAAAATAAACAGCATAAAAGTCAAGAAAGAAATCTCTTCCTCAAAACTGTAACAACTCAAGGCTTTCCTCCTGTTCATTCAGATCTGTAGACCAGTGGGGACTGGCTTACTACTTACTGTAATACCAGATTCCAGTTCCTTCTGGAGTGGGAGCACAAGGGGCAAGTGAGGTGGGATGACAGGAACTGAGGAGGAGCCACAGCCTATAATGCTAACTACTTAGTCTCAACCTGCTAGGGAGGGCAAGAATACGAAGCCATCGGGTCAGAGAATAGGACTAGGAGAGGAGAAGCAGACACATCTCTGGCTGTAGGTGATAGAGACTTATCACGAGAAGCCCTAAGAGGTGGGCAAGTCCAATGAAGCAGCAGGGGAAATAAAGATCAGCAGGCAACACATGGCAGCTTCAGGGCAATAGAGATCAGCATGTAACACGTGGTTGCTTCTGTATAAAGTAGTGAACATGCTTAAACACACACACACACACACACACACACACACACACACACACACACACACAGCCTCCAGAATAGCTCCATTCTCATAGTCCTCCAACAATAACATACGTAGGAATAAACCTTACCAAGGGGGTGAATTACCTCTCCAATGAAAACCAAACACTGAAGAGAACACCAGAGCAGTGGTTCTCAACCTGTGGGTTGAGACCTCTTTGGGGGATGAACGACCCTTCACAGGGCTCGCATATCAAGATATCCCGCATATCAGATATTTACATTATGATTCATGGCAGTAGCAAAATTACAGTTATGAAGTAGCAACAAAAATAATCTTATGGGGCTGGGCAGTGGTGGCGCACACCTTTAATCCCAGCACTCGGAAGGCAGAGCCCCATGGATCTCTGTGAGTTTGAGGCCAACCTGGTCTACAGAGCGAGATCCAGGAAAAACACCAAAACTACACAGAGAAACCCTGTCTCTAAAAAACCAAAACCCCAAATAGTAGTAGTAGTAGTAATAATAATAATATTAATTTGATGGTTGTGAGTCACCCTGACATGAAGAAGTGTATTAAAGGGTCACAGTATTAGAAAGGTTGAGAACCACTGCTCTAGAGAATGGGAAGGCTCACGGAGTAGGGTTCATGCTCATGGAGTAGGGTTCATGCTCATGGAGTAGGGTTCATGCTCATGGAGTAGGGTTCATGCTCATGGAGTAGGGT